AAAAAAAATAAGAGCACTACCACACAGACTTATCTAAGAATAGGCTTCTTTATAATTAGGGTATTCTTTGACACGCTATATTATCTCACAACCAATCTCGTCTTTCAATGGTTTACACTTTCACAACACCTTGTCTAGTACGGTTACAAGCTTCAAACTTTATTTACTTATCTGATTAACTTAAGTGCTTATATACCACTGTTTCATGAGAATTTCTTTTTAATGCTGGTTGCAGAGAAGTTCCCAAATAGTGTTTTACTGTTGCTTCAAAATAGACTTTTTTCAGGTTGCACCCGACGTTCGTGAATACTCAATGTCTGTTGGTTCGCTGGGTGATTCAATAGGCATAGTAATCGCTGGGTTTTTGTCGATACCTCTTCATAACTATGTTTGTGGAACTAAATTACCAAAACCAGAACGCTTTTCTTCAGCCTAAAAGTATTTTGCTTTTACATTAAGTGCAATAATACAACTCTTGTCCTTATATTTGCTTTATGATCTTATTTGTCTTTCAAAATTTTTCATATAATTTAGTTAATTCTGAATGCAGCAATAATGATACGCGGTTTACTGTTATACGTGATCCAAATGCCAATACTCTGATATTTCCCCTTTTAAAACGGGTTCCTATGTGTCTTCCTTTGAATAGGTACACACCAAAAATTTTTTACCGTTTCTTTTGAGCTAATGAGATACATCAGTACGTTTTAACAAGGAATTCTGTTGTATATTTATGCAATTTTCATATAACTTTTGCTCGTTCTTAATAAGTTGATGTTCGTTTCTGTATTTTTGCTCTGACCATTACTTTCGACAGCAAACGCAAACCCATTCAAATACAAAGCATGATTATTGGAAAGAGTTGTTAGTCGTAATAACTGCAACTCTAAATGAGTGGATTTTGGTTTAAGATTTTACATAGTCTATACTTATGCAGTCTTAAAGAATACTCTTAAAATACGAGTGGTTTTTATAAATTACCACAAAAAGCAGCGTCTTCAATACTAGGCTAGGAATATTTTTTGGAGGTGGTAAGTTACAAAGGAGGAGAAAGAGGCTTACACTTGCTGTTTACAACTTCTTTGCTAATTCAAAGTAACCGAGGATTGAAAATGTTTAAAAAACATTACGTTTATAATAAAAAAAAGAAGCACTCCAGAATGATCCTCAACTATTCACTACAATTATTTGACACAGAATTAAGGAATTCTGAATTTTTTTTAAGAAAAAGTTATTACAAAAATATTTCAAAAATTCTAATTTTTGCAGAATTTCTTATGCTTTTTGAAAATAATCTGTTTGACCACTGTAAAGCTTTGACAATTGATTTTTTTCCTCAAAACCGAAAGAATTCCGAAAAAGGTGGGTGCAAATTTTTTATCAAAAGGTACCCCTGAAAGTTATGTGCTTATCCAAACCGTCAACCAAATAACTGAAGCCCAATAGGCACGCTGTAAACTAAGTTCTTTATACAATGCATTTGTCAAAGAAATAGTTTCAGAAATCCAACGCTTTATTAATCACTAGAGTTTCCTATTTAGCGTGATACAGATAAGTGGATATGGTCAATACCAAAAACATCATTTTTTCTGTAGTAGTCAGTACGGGGTAGTCGTGAAAGAAGATGAAAACTAAACAAGAACTAGTAGCAAGTTAGCTACGAATTAGTAATGAATTAGCGAAATAAGCGAGCACTGAGCGTAGTAAGCAAGCATTTTAGTAACAAATACCAAAAAAAATTTTATTGGGACCACCATGAAATTCCAGTGAAGATGACGTAAACGCTTTAATCCACTGTTCTGCATCACGGCCCATTTGGAAACCCCTACTTATAACACAACCTCAGAAAGGCATGAACAGGAAAACTATGGACTATTACCAGCTTTACATGAAGCAGTCTTTTTATGGAATTCTTTTTATGATGTGACTGTTCACAACTACCGAACTCAAATGGTAGAAACAGTATATAAAACTTTTCGACCACAACACTAGCAGTAACATAGATACGACTAACATCTTTCCGTAACCATCAAAAAAAAAGAGACTAGAGAGTATGAGGACTATCAGCTTTGCAAGTAAGCCTTACAGCTTCTCAGTAGTAGGTTCTGTGTATTCAGGGTTCAGTTGAACACGTTATGCAGTGCTTTGCACGTTTTCCGATACAACGAAAGGGCTACGGAGCACTTGATTATTATAGTAATGAATGATTCAAGCGTAACATATTTACATTTCAATATAAGCGAACCAAGAAGGTCCATGCCTTTTTCATCTTTCGTTTTCCCCTTCATCTCATCTCTTCCACCGACTGACATAAATGACTGATCAAAATCAACTTTTGGATACTTTTACAAGCCTGAGTATCACTGTTTTTTATCTGTTCTCATTATATACAGCGCACGAATTAAAAGCAATTTAAAAAATCAGTCAGGTTTCATTCTCTAAAGTCACAGTTAATTTCCACACTGAAAGTTCAGGTTTAGGACTACGGGAACTTAACTTTCCGCCAAATAACAGTAGAGACCCAACTACAGCTTCATCTCGGTAAGAACTAAAATTTTTCTGCACACAGTTAGAAATACAGGCGGGAGTTTGTGCCCCGAATGAATCTGGTCCTTCAAGTTTGCGAAGGTCATCAGAGGTGCCTTTCAGGTACGAAAGATCTAAAAAAAAACATGCTACTTTTACACAAAATATTAAAGTAATAAAAAGTATGGCCATTACCTTCTTGTTCACCAGATACTGGAAAATCGGGATCAAATGCTTCGTTAACGAAAAAATTGCAAGCAATCATTTTACATTTGTGAAACAATACTGCTTCCTCCAGTTCCGTTTCATTCAAGTTCCAGAAATGCAGCTGTGCGAACGCACACGGCCCAGGCTGCAGAAAGTCTTCAATTATCACAGAAGTCCAGATTGAGAATTCTATAAAAATTATAATACATGCCGGTTCAAAAGGTGCTAATAATTATGAATTAATTCTTACTAAAAGAATATAGCCATAAATCAGAAAGCAGGTTATCTGACGAGTCTAATCCCCCATAAATAAACATCAAGTCGTTGGAAGCGCAACAAGCGTGACCATAACGAGGTTGTGGATGACCTTCAGATTCAATATGTACTTTCGACCACACTTTTGTTTCTTCAATCAAATATTTCGTCTTATTAGCCCACTTCAAAGTTAGTAATTAAACAAAAACAAGTTTAGTAATAGACTGTTAAACTTAAAAATACTCAAACTGAAAATTTACTTTAAAACATTTGAAGCAATTTTGAGGTACGGCCCAGCCTGGGTTTTGGTCATAAACTTTAACTTTTAAGTACTTAGTTTATAGATCTGAAAATTTTGTAAAATATCGTAAATTTTATGCCATTAAATTAATAGTTTAATTGGCTTACTTAGATTATATTTCTCAAAATCAGCAATAAGCTTTTCCCCATCTTTTCCTCCGAAAACGTACATTTCACACCTATATATCTCAGCAGAATGGGAATACCGTGGTTTCAAACCTGCAGTGCCTTTCGACCATCTGAACGGTTCTAAAACCCAAACTTTACTCCAAGTTAAATGCATCAGAACAGTGACAAAAGAAAGTCATCTTCTATAGCTGATTAGCTGCATTTCTGTAGTTTCGTGACAATGTCACCACAGTTAATAAAATTGTCAAATTTTATTAGGAGTAGACGAACATTACGAAAGCCTGAACTTGTTTTGGTTGGCAAAATCCATATCGCATTGGAAGGACCGTACGATTCGTCAAAACCTCCAAAAACAACCAAAGTGTCTTCATACGAAACTAATGAATGATTACTCAGACAGCCTGGGTTTTGGTCATAAACTTTCACATTATCCACTGAAGATGCTGATAACCCTGCATTAAGCGACAACAGTCACGTTGCGAATCAAACATCAAAGTAAGTTTTTTTTGTAAATTAACTTTTGTCTGAAACTGATACTTAACTAGACATAGAACAGCTTACGCAAGTCATAAAATTATATAAATAAAATATAAACTTTTATAAACACAAATTTTTAAGAATGCACTTTAAGCACATGCATAATGATGACGTGAATCAGCCAAGATCCCTTTTATTAAAAATTAATTTTGTTTTTCTATTAAGCTTTGACAAGAAACAAAAAAAAAGCTAGTCAATATTTTCATCATAATTGAAACTGGCTTTTTGTGGCAGAGCCAAAAACTTTTTATTTGTGACTTGCAAAAATTCACTTTTTGCAGTGCTAGCAGAAGACCTGCAACTAAAAAAAACCTCTGAAGATCCAACTCGCAAACGTTATCATCTTTTTTCCCCTTATATTACCTAAACATCAATTATTTCCGAGACTTACGTTGTACCCCTTTCACTTCATCTATCTATTTTCACTATTACAATTAATCTCTTCAATTATATCTCTGACCTTGAGAGCTTCAACAGTAGAGATATAAAACCTAGATGTAACAAGAAGTAGAAACCTTTCTATTTATGTGTAACAGATTGTTTTTGTCTTAGAAAGTTAAAAGTAAAAAGTAAAAGTCATAGCAACCACATTTGGAAAAAACCTTAAAGTTTTATAAATTGGAATGTACTTACCGCAAATGTTGGGCTCCCATATCCACAACTGCTTATCGTTACCGAGGGAGGCACCGCCAAAAATAAAGTGAGCATCGCTGGTTGAAGCTGCTGTAGCACCATCTAACAAAGGCAAGGCCGGATTATTTTCAATATCAAAATTTAACGTATCTGGAAGTATAAAACACTTAAGATAAAAAATATATCTTCAATTCTAAATTTTCACTCATCTTTTTAGAAGAATTGAAGTTAAAGTTATCAAAATAGCATATAATTTAGTATGATATTCAAATCTCAGTTATATTATTCTAACACACATTAATAAATTTCTAGATATAAGTATTCATTGATTGGCATTGTAGTAGCTGCATTTATATATAATTTCTAAATCTTTCAATCACTAGCTAAAAAACCCATAATCATCTGCTTAACTAAGTCTTTTATAGGGCTTCTTAATATATGCTTTTTTTTGCACTCGACTTGTTGTTGTTTCCAAAGATTTACAAAACTAGCTGATAAGGAGAAAATTTTTGACAAGTATACTTTCAACTGTTATCACTGGGAGCTGTAAAACCAATTGAAACTACTTTTTTACTGCGAGCGATCGCAGTATGCAGATAGCTTCCGCGCAAACAAAGCATACCTTCAATTTTAGAAGAAAATAAAATTCTAACTGGGCTCCCGAGGGCTTCTGATCCTCTATTTAAGCAGTGAACAGAACTGACCTTTGTCGAAAGAAACGATGTTCCGCTCGATAATACCATCTTCCTGACGTCCTCCAAATGCATATATCTTATTATCATACTCAATTGTTGCGGTATTAAAGGTCTGTTTTGTACCTTTATTTACGTACTTTTGACAAGAACATTTCAGCTTCTTCATCTGTACAACGCTATTTCTTGATTTCGCGAAATGAGTTTTTTTTATTGACGTTCTGTAAAACTTCATAAATTTATGTAGTTGCGACAGTGCTTCCAGCAATACTGAAAATATTCACTTCTAGCAGTATTCACTCTTACACTTTAAAAATCACTTCCACATTGGCGTTTTCTTCCATATCAATGAATAACATACAATAAAAGCTACAGAAACGTTAGGCTTGAGTTCGAGTGCTTTAAATTTTACCACCGAACTTTTTGAAAGCTTAAATCAACAGTAGTTTTTAGCTCCACTAACACGGCCTTAAGACGGTCACTTTGACAAAATTTTGAAGTGTCGCTCAGTTTTAAATCTACTGCTAAAATGCAGTAATATCAATAACAAAGTACGCATAGTGCTTTAAGAATATCGCTGAAAAGAATGCATCAAAAAATCGATGTTTTTCAATTACAAGATGTTCTCTGAATAATCAGGTAATTAAGAATGGTGCTCATGTATGCTGCTAATGCGATACTACTGAAGGTAAGAGAGCTTGGTAAATAAACCAGAAAATTTCAATCATTTGAAAAAGATTGAGATGTGGAAAAAGTTAAGCAATAAAATTACAAGCTTTTAAACCACATACCACTTAAAACTGTAAGCTTTTTTTATAATTAGTACAGTTCCGGTTTAGGAATTTTAAGATATGGCGGTGAACAGCTGGTGAACCGCGTTGACAATCACTTTTCCTCTGCACGCAGCACAGGCCTCAAAGCTAGCCGGTATTTGACGTTGAAAAAATGCGGTTTACTGCGAAACTATGAAGATTTGTGCTCTACACGGCTAAATTCTGCTTACTACTTAAACGATTGCACCTAAACTCACACTGGCTAATGATACTGAACTAACTAATCAATAACGGGAACACTGTTGATTACATTTCACTTTCCACCTCAGGAAACTAATTCAAAAACGCTTCAACAGGTGTGTCAAAAATTGACATAGCTGTAAGCTTTATCAGCACTTTAGAAACTTCATAAAATTTAATTACAAATATTTTCGTTGTTACCTTTTTGTATCGTAACCTAAGAAATTGAATAAATTTTTTTTTTGCTTTTAGAAATTAGTCTGAATTTAACTAATAGCTTTTAATCTAATCGCCGTAATTTCGTGCAAAGTGACTGGAATCTTTTAATGCAATTTCTTTTCTGAATACAGTATTTGTAATATAGAATAAAAAAAATTTCCATTTTTATTTCAAAAAGAAAATGATGCACTAAACTATTTCCAAATATTTCATAAAATTTGAACAAAACGCCTGCGAAAAAAAAAAAGATGGAAGAAAAGAAAGAAATCGAAACACACAAAATATGCGCCAGTCGACTTCAAACTACTATCAGTAATCAAACTAGTGCTTGCCTGAAAACTTATTGAAGTGCTTAGATGTATAACTGTGTGGATAACTTTAATGACAATTGTGAGAAAAAAAAAAGGGAAGAAGTACAAACTAAAGCAGAATTATGATCGTAAAATTTAAATTTCAAAGTAAAAACCAATAATCTTTGTTTGTTCACGTTTGAAACTATTCATACGAATGAAACAGTTAATACAGCCATTGTAATTAACAAGCAAAAGCTCTTGCAAAATTGTACTGTTGAACGATAAAATAAATGTAAAACATTTGAATCAAGTATCAGGCTACCACTTTTTTTGTCACAGAACATTAATTTAATCAGCATCAAATGATTAATTCCATTTGGTACGTACAGCTTTAGTATATGTTGATGAAAGCTGCAGACTGCTGCTAGGCTAACAAAACATGCACTACCTAAGCAAAAGCCAACCAACAGCTAATAAGATCAAAGCAGCCTGATAAATGAAGGTGCTTTTGGCAAGAAAGCCGCTATTTCAGCTAAGCTTTCTTCTTTATATGCCTGCCAGCAGACTAAACTGCGGGGTAATAACAAACCAATGAAAACAACAAGAAAATAAACTTATTAAGGGTTTTCCCATTGAAAAAAATGAATTGTTTCTCTATTTATAAAATCACATGATCTCAACAAGGTTCTCAGTTTAATTTTAAAACAACCAAAAAAAAAGTATCAGTGTTGCAGCACAAATAAAAACAACTTTTTCTCAGGTAATATGTTTAAAATTATTTAATATGCTATTTCAAACACCGCAAATGAACAAAAACTAATTTAAATATAAAGAAGAAAAACTAACTTTTTCAAGTTCTGACAAGCTTACTTTTTTGCTTCTTATTGTTGTATCAGCTCTGACGACAAATATGACAAACGTTACAAATTGTCTTAATTAAATTTTCAGTAAAGAGCCATAATATCAAAAAAAAAGTGCTTTCTCTTATCTATCTGTTTTTTTTTCTTTTTTTTTTGTTGTTTCATTTAAATCTTATCAGCGAAAATGCCACAGAAATTGTCAAAACAAAATCAGCAACCTTGTTACCTATTACTTCTGTAAATGTGTGTAGTAAATTTCTGGAAAAGAGAGTGAGAGAGAGAAAGAATGTTGCCTTTAGACGATAATTTAGAATATTGTATTAGTCAATAAAAATTGGTAGACTAACAACAGGTTGGGGAGGAA